GCCAGTGGTTGGCAATGTTTCGACACATGCTGCGGTGCCAGTCAAACACACCTGCTCTAGCCCGTTGAGTGGGCTGGGCAAGGTGGTTGGCTGGAAGCCTGGATGGCTAGGTAGGAGGATGGCAGTTGGCGGCTGGCGGCTGGCGGCTGGGCGAGGTCTCTAAATGTCGAGAGTGCAGCCCAGCTGTCAGGCGGTGGGCGTGTGGCGCAGACGGACGCAGGACGCAGGACACAGCTGGCACTTGACATGAGCAACGGGCAACGAAACAACTCGAGGGCCTTCGTTCAACTACTTTTGCACACATTCGCAACATTTTGCTTCCGTTTCCAAATAGCAAGAGCACATACAATACAGAGTCAGAGCCACTCACACACACAGGCGCACACACATGTACAGTTGATACATTTAGACTCATGCTCTGGGGTAAAAAAAAGTGTAACTAAAACAATTTGAAATAAGATACTTCATGCAAACAGAAAATACAGGATAAAAATATATAAAGAAAAAAAAAAACATTTTATATGCACTATGGTTGCCAAATTTATAACTCAATTTCGGAGCTGTTCTACAGGGGCGTGGCTGCATTGTAATAGAGCAGCTAGATTATAGCTGGCCAGATTTTAGAACGTTAGCAGAGCTGCAAATGTCACGAAAGGAATAGGAAAATACAAAAAACAAAAATTTTAAATAAAATTAGCAAAGCTTAAAATAACATTATAGTAAGTTAAAATAATAATGATAATGAAAATATGTGTAAATATCATATTTAATATAAACATTATAATATGCAATTTTAAAGTAATTCAATTTTGAACTCGATTTGAAAAATACAAATTTGTTTAAATGTAGCTTAATTATTATAATTTTATATTATAAATTCCTATAAGTCATAAGTATATTCTTAAGAATTAGCTTAAATTTTTCTTTTCGATTTTGTTTGATAAGCACATAAAATATATGATAATTCAAGGCAAGGTGATTTTCTTTTAATTTTAATTTTTTAATTTAATTTTTTCTTGCTGAGCAAATTAAAAATATATAAAAATTTTAAAATATGCGTTTTTTCTATTATGTCCTTAAAAACAAAAAACTACCTAATACAAATTTTAAATATTATAAATTCCATATTAACT